CTGCTGCTTATACGTCCAGGAGCTTTTGTTTGAGGTATAAAGTTCGGACCTTTCTCTTTTGTATGGATAGATCTCATGGTCCTAGAGTTAGGGTTTCATTTCCATCTTCTTATGGGGGACCTTGAAGGTTTTGAGCACCTTTTTAGAGTTGGACATCAGATCTGGACCTTGTGAGGTCCCTAGAGTCGAAATTCCCCTGCTTTATTCAGCCATGTTAGCCCTTTTGTATGAGAACTTCTTCTCAAACTTGTTCTTGGCACTTTTAGCCCTTTTGTGCCATGCATGAACGTAAAGCTCAAGGCTTTACGTGATATTCGAGCCTAGAGAGCTTAGATCTAGAGTGTGAGAGAGTTTTCTGCCTTGGAATCATCTGAATAACAATTGAGTCTGAATGGACTCGCCGAGTCGATGAGCCGACTCGACGAGTCGATTAGGGTTTGTCCCGATGAGCTTTATCATGCGATGGCTCGGCGAGTTAGGGGTTAACTTGACGAGCTGGACCTTCATGAGATTAATGAGAACAATGGGACTCGACGAGTCACACGAGTGCACTCGGCGAGTCTAGTCAATTTGGGCTATTGAATGGAATTGACTTCTGTTGACTTTAGGGTTGGTCAAATGAGTAATGGAGGTTAAGGAAGGGTAAAATGGTCTTTTACCCATTTATAGGGCTAAGAGTGTAAGAGAGACCAATGAATGGTGTAGTCGAGTATAAGGAGAGTATTAATTAGAGATATTATCCTTGTGATAGGCGGAGGCTAGATCAAGGATTCCGAGCATGCGATTTTACTAGCTAGCTTACGAGGTGAGTCTTCTCACTATACTTTGCCTAGAGTGGTATATATGTGTTACTAGAGGGTCTTGTGTGTTTATTTGAGTACTGTGATATTACTGCATTATGTCTGTGTGATTTATGTTATGTGTATTCAGAGTTAGGACCGACGGGTCCACAGAGTTAGGACCGGAGGGTCCATCAGAGTTGTGGGACTGGAGGTTCCCACTGAGACACATTGACCGGAGGGTCTTACAGAGTTATAGCCTCGAGTGGCTAATATGTTGTATGTGGTATTTTGGGGAACTCACTAAGCTTCGTGCTTACTGTGTTATGTGTTATGTGTTTCAGGTACTTCCGATGATCGCGGGAAGGCCTCGACTTGATTGTATACACACTCGCTTTGGAAATATATTTTTGAGGATCTTGGTTTATGTGATAACAATTTTTGATAAATAAATTGTATTAATGTTGATACTTGAGGTTTTTGGGAAAAATATGACATGTGATTTTTATGTTCGAAATGAAAAAATTTGGTTTGAAAAATTTACGTCGTTACACGAAGACCACAAGAAAGTAAGTAATTCGCGACAACCATCAACCACCGCCAGCAACATCAATCCCCTTATCCGTCTCCCTGGCCGTAATTTAGGTCAAACATCATACATCCCTCCGAAAACCTTCTAGTGACACCATTTGGATGGAATGATACGACGATAATAGAACAGGCATCCTTTCGTCTCAATTAGTCGGTCAGTGACAAACTAACAATAACCAGCAAGCGTCATCCTCTTCCTTTTCTTCCTCTTCTAGATCTTATGACCAATTTAATTTTATAGTCACAGAAGAAAAGACAAAGATATAGATTATTACCTGTTTTGTTTAAAGTATTTTAACGTGCGAAGTATAGAAGTAGGATGTTATTATACACAAATCAGTAAATGTACATTGTTATTTCTTGTATCACATGGGCGAGTTTTATAATCTCAGTCATACAGGGACTGTTACTGTGGAAGCACACACATAAGATTATAGAAATGTATTTTAAAAGTAGAAAAAAGTACATTGTTATAATATACATTGTTATTAAATATAAACATCATAAAAACTACAATGCTATTTTTTCATTTTTTTTGGATAGTTTGTAACGGAATGGTTCATGCCATAGGAATGAAAAACGACTTGCTTCTTTAGGATAATGGAATGGAATGAACAAATTTGTTCCCTTTACTGATTTCATTCTTTGAGGGTTTTTTCCTTCAATTGTCCCAAGATGGAACACACCAAAATAGCATTGTACATATTTCTGAATTTTTTTTGTAATTAATAAGTACAACAAAACATCCCCTAAAGTGAAGTGATATTTTCTGCATTTTTCTCTAGAAAGTGTTTTGTATGATGGAATTCAGAAAGGAATGGGAATGTTCATTAGCACAATGGAAAGAAAAAGAACTTGTTTCATTATCCCAATGGAATGGAATGAACTAAGCCTTTCTTTTTACTGATTTCATTCTTAGATGGGTGTTTAGAAATTACCTGATGACATAAATCTTCAAATGTTACAAAAAAAAAAAGAATCTTCAAGCCGATGGCAGAAAGTGAACGACTGCTACCTTACACCTTACAGATGCAAGAAAGTGAATGGAGAAGAATGTTAAAATTAAGGAATAAGTGAGGTATATAATAAAGGAAGGAATTGGGTTGTCGTTTCAAACTTTATGATAAGATTGCATATGTTGATTTATTGCCTAATATTGTTCAAATTCAAATAATTACAATAAATTTTTGCTAATTTGTTGGATATTAGCATTGTTTCTAATCTAAATTTAAACTCCTAATGTTAACGAACGGATTTAAGAAGGAATAGACGGGAATAGGTTGAAAATATATTTGCATATGATATCAATTATGATATTGGAGATGTTATGCCGTCTGGAATTTTTGATGTTTGAATTTAATATGAATATGAATGGTATGATATTAGATATGTTTATACGAATTGTATAATTTTTTGGTTCCTTTTTTGTACAGATTCTCATTGATTGATATAACAATTTAAGTATGATAAGGATACGTAGTTAACTGATTGTATATATGGAAAGAATGCTCTTGTTAATTACATCTGACCATATATACTTTCCATTATTTTTAAAAATTGTTGTTTAAAAAGTATTTGATTAAGGAATGATTTATACACATTAAATGCATGGAAGGTATATTGGTAAAATCACTTTTGGCTGAAAACGAATGTGGAAAAGAATGTGGAGAAGAATGATTCTTTTATATATATATATATATATATATATATATATATATATATATATATATATATATATATATATATATATATTCTTCTCCGCATTCTTTTCCACATTCGTTTTCAGCTAAAAGTGATTTTACCAATATACCCTCCATATATATATATATATATATATATATATATAATATATATATATATATATATAATATATATATATATACACACACACACACACTAGGTATGAGACCCATGTATTACATGAGTTTATTTAAAAGAAAAAAATTAAATATTAAATTCTAAACATTTGGAGAAGCTTGAATTTATAAGAAAAATGAGAACTCTAAATTTAAACAATGGATAAATAAATAAAGAAAATTAACAAAGCTTTAATTTATTAATTTTGAAGTTAAAAGGAAAATTCATTACGAAAATTAATATGCATTTATTATTGTATTTAAATACTACGTGGAATTAATAAAATAGAAAAACCATAAAATGTCATGTGGAATAAAAATTAATTCAAAATAACCACAAAATGACATTTGACAAATTGAATGAGAGTATGACAAGTGGCAAAAAAAACTTTCATTTATTATAGTATATATATATATATATATATATATATATATATATATATATATATATATATATATATATATGAGACTCATGTATTACATTAGTTTATTTAAAAGTAAAAAAATTAAATATTAAATTCTAAACATTTGGAGAAGTTTGAATTTATAAGAAAAATGAGAAAAACATTGAATTATAAAAATTAAAATGTTTTTTTTTCTAAGTTTAAACAATAGATAAATAAATAAAGAAAATTAATGAACCTTTAATTTATTGATTTTGAAGTTAAAAGGAAAATTCATTAAGAAAATTAATATGTATTTATTATTGTATTTAAATACTACATGGAATTAATAAAATAGAAAAACCATAAAATAAAATGTGGAATAAAAATTAATTCAAAATAACCACAATGACATTTGACAAATTAAATGAGGGTATGATAAGTGAAAAAAAAAAACTTTTTATTTATTATAGTAGATAATAATGAGAGTAAAATATGTTTTTTTTATTTTGTTGCTTTTGTTTTGAGAGAGAGAGAGAGAGAGAGAGAGAGAGAGAGAGAGAGAGAGAGAGAGAGAGAGAGAGAGAGAGAGACGATGGTGAAGGTGCTAATTTTCGCATGGCCACGTGTAAACATTATATTGGTTGAAACAAGAAAAAGAGAAGTCCAATCTCAGCCGTTACTTAAATCATAATCTATTGTCGATCACCATATCTACGATAAACATTCCCAATCAGCCTGCCTTGTGCTGGACCTTTGCTTTGCTTATATTTTTCCAAACCATCCCCTCTACTCTCGCTCAACTATAAAAAAATCACCTACACTCACACGTTTGTAATATTGCTAATATTGTTTGATTTGTTTTGTTTTATAAAGTTACAACATTGATAAATATATTGACGCTTTAACACCAACTTTGTTTTGCTTTCTCAAATCAAAGGTATTAAACAAAATAAAAAACATTGAATCCAAAATGAACAAGGACCAGTTAGGTCGAAATAGTCTTCGTAAGTTACACTTGCCTACTTAAAACAGGTTTGGTTTATATAAGGTATTGGCCAAATAATCTAATTATCTATCACAACCATTTATAATTTTCACATTAGCTAGGTTAATGCTACATTATTATTTTGTACAACCTATAAAATATACATATTTTCCAAACTGATAGTTAAGAAAAATACTACTTAATTCATTACATAAAGATGAATTATTTTTTATTACACGTGGCATTGGAAATGCACTTTGGTTTTGTATTTCTCTTGTTTTATAACAATACTGATTTCGTAAGGACTATATTGCATTCTTCAAAAACTAGTGGGGCTTAAATGAATTTTTAAACCCGCTTCTTATATATGGAGTGGAGAGAGAGAGAGAGAGAGAGAGAGAGAGAGAGAAGCGCGTCAAACAGTGGGGAGAGAGAGAGGACATGGATTTGATTTTGCTACACAGGTAAGATAACCGAGGATTGATTTTACTGTTGAAATTGATAACTTGTATGATCTTCATCTTCATTAGTTCAAATCACTCGAGCAGTATTAAAATTCTGTAAGTAATTCTTGTTATGTATCTAAATCAAGGCATATATGTATATGCATATATGAATTTGGAGTTCATTGCTGTTGATTCAGCCTCATAAACCAGCGTGGTCTCCATTAAAGTGTAGAATTCTTCTAGGTTTTGCTTACTTTTGTGAATTGCTATTTCTTCAAAAATCATATTTTATCTATGATCATCTTCTTTCTAATCAGTTGTGTGTATCTAGTGAATTCCGTGTGTTGACTTTGATTTGGAATCATGTTTTGTTGAAATTAGAATTCGGATTTTGTTAATTGTGGTTGAATTTTTATGTTTAAAGGCACTGGATCGTGATTACGAAGTAAGGAACGACTCACATACATGATACAGATATCAGAAAAAAATTAGATCTACATATCCAAATATATGCCTTTTCTCTTAATTCAGATTTTTCGCCATTTTCTTTTGTTTCTTAGCTGGTTGAGTTGCTTTGAGCTGATAGTAGGATTGATTGTTGATTTAAGATTCAACTATTCTTATTCCTGCTTTATTCCTATCTAAAAACGTTCTTTTGCAGACATTTAGTGATTGATGTTCTTGAGTCAAGATCGTGATATATATCAAAGATACAAATCAAATGCCATCACTAAAGATGAAGACGAAATCATCAGGAGACTCTCTAAAAGAAAACCGTGGTCTCCATGTCTGTCAAAAATCAAGCAAGATATCCAAGAACTCTTTCTCTCATGCCCGGAATTTTCAGAATGAAGAAGCAGAACTTGATACTTTTACATCTAACAATCAGGAAATAAGAAGTGATGAAACCAACTGTTGTGAAATAGTAGATGAAGAAATTCTTCAATTTCAGAAGCATATATCACCTTCAAGTAATGCTGGCATAGTTTATAGCATGGTAAAACATTCAAACCATGATATTTTTCAAGTCTTTTTAACCATTTTCTGTTCATAACCCTAGAATCAGAATTGCTTACATTTATGGTATTTTCAATTGCAGGATCACACGTCAACCATAGAAACAATCTTTTCACCTATACTGGAGTCCATTGACATTGACATTGAACCAAATATCAATGTTTCAGATTTTTTCATTTCTGATATGATTGTGTCTAGCTCACGCAATGAAAGAAATTCTGCATATACCACCATTTCAGAGGCTACACGCTTACTTGATTATGAACGTGATGAATTGAACAAATTTTGTTTTGATGAGTATATGCTTCTTCCTTTTCTTGAAGATAGCATCGAGTCAAACAGTCAACATGAAGATAGTAGTGGTAACACACATCCAAAACCTGTCATTGGTTCAGAAGAATCAAGCATATATGTGGCGATCCATCAATTAAAGGAATATGAATATGATGTGAATTCTTTTCCAGAATGGGATCCATTAGAGTGCTTGAATCCACAAATGTTCATCAGGAATTTTCTTGATTTTACAGAAATTCCCCAGGAAGCATCAAGGGAAACGAAATCTGTCACCCTAGTTCTTGATTTAGATGGTAAGAAAAATGTTTTTTCTTTCTTTTTTTAGTTTAGATTTTTTATTGATAATTTTAAAGTTTCATGTGAAATGTTTTAATTTGTTTGAATTAATTGGTGTACAAACAGAAACACTTGTCCACTCTTCACTGGAACAGTGTAAGGATGCAGACTTCAGTTTTCAAGTAGTTTCTAGTTTGAAGGAGCATACTGTGTATGTGAAAGAGAGACCTTACCTAAGGGCATTTTTGGAAAAAGTGTCGGAAATGTTTGATATTGTGATATTCACAGCCAGTCAAAGCATTTATGCAAAACAGCTTGTTGATATACTGGATCCAGATGGGAAGATGATCTCTCGTAGAGCTTATAGAGATTCATGTATCTTTACAGATGGAGGTTATACAAAGGATTTAACAGTTTTAGGTGTTGATCTTGCCAAAATTGTCATAATTGACAATTCTCCACAGGTACAAATAGAATGCTTATAATCAGATTGATAAGGGATGAAAATTTTGTCTAATAAAAGGTTTGTTTGAGTTTCAGGTTTTCAGATTGCAAGTGAATAATGGGATTCCAATCAAGAGTTGGTTTGATGATCCATCAGATTGTGCCCTAATTTCATTACTACCGTTTCTTGAGTCTCTGCTTCACGTTGAAGATGTGCGTCCAATTATTGCTAACAGATTTGGTAACAATGTGCCTTATTAATTTCTCAATTACACCTCCAAATTATCCATAAATTATCTTTACAATAATACATCACTAGTGTAGTGTAGTTAGTGTTTTAATATAGATTGTTTTTTGCACTGTACAGTTAATTAAATAGTTTAGAAACTCAGAATAAGTTTTTTCTTTGTTTTTAGATATAGATGCATGTACTATGTAGTTGTTGCCAAGCATTTAGCGATATGTATTATCCAAATGACAATGGTGTTCCATTTTTTTTTGTTCTTATTGTGATTATAATATAATGTAATCATAAACAAGTTGTGTATGATTGTAAATGTTGTTTGATAGATGATGGGAAGGAATTAAAAATGCAAGAGATACGAAGCTGGAGGGAGCATCAATCATCACAAACAACACAACACACTGATTTTCTGTCATTAATATCAAACACAAGAGATACAAAGTTATAAAGTTTTCCTTTTTCCACTATACAATTGCCCCCCAAAATATGACTTCAAATTTGTTAACAAAAGAAACCCAAAATGAAGTGTAGAGGTGAAAAACAGGAGATTATCTCCACCTATACATTTTCAAGGCCATTCACCTCTTTATAATATCTACTACCAAAACATTCATTTTCTTTCATTCTTTTCTTCACAAAATAGCAACACACCTAGTTTTTTGGTTTTGCTTTTGGTGGGATTTCCTACTTGTTGTATATATAATAAACATATATGTACGATTCAACATCCTTTTTTGCACTACTTACTTGAAAATGGTGTCGGGTCCAGTGGATCCTGTAATTTGCATATAACACACACAAAAACCCTAATAATCATATTTATACTCAAAAACATTTAAGGAAAAAGGTATTCATTGTTATGTGTTACTGTTGTTACCTGATCAACATCAACGTCCTCAGAATGGAAAAGAATAGGCCTGCATCGCTTATCTTCATTCATCAAACTGGAATTCTGAAAATGGGTGACAAGTGCCGCCTTCCCTTGGATTCGAGCATATGCCAATGATGCTACTTTTTCACTATTGAACTTCTCCCACTTTTTCCCGTCGAACGCCTTAACACAACCAACAAAATAATTTTTTAATATTTACGCAACTCAACTAAATTGTCTTCAGAAAAGAAAAGACCTGGTAGAACGGGATTATATGCATCGGTGAAAGCATGTTGATAAACGCATACCCAACATTACATTTGTTCTGTGCATCAAACAAAAAACGGCCAGCAAGATTAAATTTAAATTTTAAAAAAAAATGGTAGAAAATTTATACCTTGAAATCGATTGGCAGGTAGAGAAAATCGTAAGTACCACTATGAATTTCATCAATGGAAGCTAGCAACATCTTTGAAGTATACTTGTTAGGGATATTTTTTATCATTAAAGTCGTCCGCGTATCTTCTCCACTCTTGATCTTATCAAGATCAAGTTGAAACTGTTTCTTGTTGTCCATCTGCATCTGCAGCTGGTTTCCATTTCGATTCCGCCCTCCTCCGTTCATGTTCATGTTCATGTTCATGTTCATGGCCATGGCCATGCTTTCTATTTTATTATTATTATTCATGGATCCTATTCCAGAGTAATTCAGCCCATTTCCAAGGAATACCCTTGGAGATGACATTGACATGTTGCTGAAACTAGGTGATGAACTGTTTTCCATAATGTTGTTCACAGATCCATGAGAATTCAAGAAACCACGATCCATTTGGCCACCATAAGTTGAAGGACTCATGAAATCATGATGGTGACGGCCACCACCAAATGGAATCATCCCGGATGGAGATGGAGCCGATCCGACATGGTGGAAATGACCATTTTGCCCTGGGACGCTAAACCCATGAGTGGTCAACCCTTTAGCAAAAGGTTGAGGTGGTGGTTGACTGGTGGTGGGGGTAAGGGTAGGACTTCCCCACAGAAACTGTGCACCAGATAAGGTTTCGATTCCTGAAGTAGTCGAGCTCGAAGCACCAAATGACGATATCGTCCCTGTCCCTGTCCCTGTCCCTGTCCCTGTCCCTTGCAGCGAACGAGACTGTTGAAAAACAGATCCATTGTTTGTTGAGAACATCTGGTCAAACTGAGTATTATTACCATTACTTCTTCCATAATGATCTTTACCAATTGGTGGTAATGCTATTCTTGTTGGCTGTGCTTGTGGATGCAAGATTGAAGCCAATCCAGGTAAACTGTGGCTAAGATTTTGTACAGTACCGTGTCGTTCTATTGGACTGCCAAATTGTGGCCACACACCTGGCGGTGAGCTGGCAATCGAGGTGCCTACTTGGAGTCTGAAACTTCGTGCGTCATCTTGCTCAAATTCTTGATTTAGTTGCAACATTAAGCTGATGATGTTCATTCATATAAGAATTATAAAATGTTTTTAGAAACAAGGGTAAAATTGGAAATGGAAGTTAATTACTTTCGGCGGGCGCCACCTGGGCGACTAGGTTCAAGCTTTATGCGTTTCCCAGCTATGTCACTCCTGTTAAGAGATCTGAGTGCAGCTTCTGCTGCTCTAACATCATAATATTCTATGAATTTATGGTGCCTTTTATGCGGTGTCTCCCGTATCTGTTATTGCATGGAATGGAAGTGTTAGTGAATCATAACAGAAGAGGTAATAATGGAATAAATAAGGTAACACTACACTTACCTCTTTGCATCATATCAAACACTACACTTAATAAGGAAAACCATTACCTCTTTCACCTCACCATATGCCCCAAAGATTTGAAGAAGATCTTCACATGAAACAGACGGGTCCAAATTAAAAACAACCAATGTTCCTTGGTTTACATCTTTATCCGATGGGTTGTCCTAATCAGATCATCATCCATATTTAATAATCAATTTAAATTAACTTAGGAAATTAACAAAAATTATAAATCAAACCTTTGGAATCGAGTAATGAATGTCCAATTTCCTTCTTCTTAGAGGCTTATTCTGTAATGCACGCATAGCAGTCCTTGCAGCACGAATATCATAATAAGATATCATCACAAACCCCCTGTGTTTACATGCAGTGTACAGTGTTCTAATATCACCATATTGCTACAAATTACATATAAATAATATGTTAGACTTTTAACTTTTTCTACAAATTTAGTTGTTTTTGGTAAATATTAACTATACCTCAAACAACATTTGTAGCTCTAAATCCTCAACGTTACTGTTGATATTACGCACAAATAAAGTTCTTGAAGGATGCTCTCCATATGGATGTTCTCCAGCAACTGTTCCACTTCCAACTCCATTCATGTATTGACTCATGCCATTGCTACTAACAATCCCATCACCCAGACTTACCTTTGACATGCTGAAATTCTGATTATCTGATTCCGATTCCGGATCCATTTCCAATTCCATTCCCCCTCCGCTTCCGAAAAGATCAATCTCATCCGACTCATGGTTAGGAAATGGATTTAGATTTAGATCAAGACCATCCATCATGCCAGATAAAAGCTCATCTTCATCAGGTAACAAGCTTCCAATTCCATCATCTTCCATATCTTCAAGCAAACCATTTCCTTTCACACACTTGTCATGAGGTAGAACTGGTAATGAACTTGAGAAAAAAGGGGCATCATTTGAAGCGTGATAAGTATCCGATCCAGATAACATTCCAGTTGCTCTGCTTCCTACCGCTTTTGAGAAATCCATCGATTTTATCATTTACAGACCTACAGGAAAAGTCTATAATCATCAAAAACATATAAACCCTCAGATACGTGCATAATCATTGCATTTAGCAGCTTTTGCTATGGAAAGGGGGATTCCATGGAGGAAATTACAAAAGGTAAAGGGGAACTGTTCTTATGTTCTTATGGATTCCGAATGAAAAGCAATAATTGCTGATAATCATTACAATCGTTACTGATTTTGTAATCCAAGCCAACAAGCCCCAAATTAGTAAATTTGAACATCGATCACAACATGCAAAGCAATCAATCAATTACACCGACAAAATAAAGTAACATTTGACGATAAAATACCATATTCTAACTGAACCCCCAACCTCTGCTCTATAAACTCCAAAAAGTAACAAGTTCATGAAACCCATTTTAGAATAATCACATCCACAATAAATGTTTCAAACCAGAAATAAATTTAGAAAAGTAAAATGGCCTTACAGCTTTACACACATACCCTTGGTTCTGTGTGTGTGTGTGTGTGTGTGTGTGAGAGAGAGAGAGAGAGAGAGAGAGAGAGAGAGAGAGAAAACGATACCCTGAAGAAGTCAAACTTCAAACTTCAAAAGATGTCTCCACTGAAGAAGAAAAAAAAAAACAAATCAAAAACCCATATTAATCTGCAAAAACTTCAACGAAAACATCTCTGCCATGATCGGAGAGAATGTTTTTTTAGTTTAGAAAGAGAAATAGAGTTGAGACTGGAGACGTCTGCGCTTTGTGCGTGTGTGTGTGATGTTTTCTCTCTCTAAAAACTAAAAAGTGTAAACAGAAACACACGTACACAATCTATAGATATCTGCAGAGAGAGAAAATTGTGATTGGAGAAGAAAGTGAACAAATTTCAGAATGATTTGAGCGAGAAGAGGTGTGGACTGTTGAGTGTTGAACTGCATTTAAATCTGATTTCATGTCCGTAAGCACAGTCTGCTAGTAAACGAAGAACACTTAAAGGTGTTAAATTACTCTTTTTGGCCTTCCAATCGAATGTGTATGTACTTATCGTTTACCAAAAATAAGGGACCCCAAAAATAAATAATGAGTAGTTTGGTAATTTTGTAGTAGTTATCTTTTAAACCAGGGTTTTTTCATTGATTATTCATCTCTTCTTTTAAATTTAATTATTTTTAACGGTCAAAAAAGTTAAAAATATAAACTCATCGACTAATATAAAAAATTATAAAAGTGGTTATTCTAATTTCAAGTTGCATCACATTCCTATGATATTTTATATTTTATTATCTAGCTAACGAATTAAATCCATAGTTTACAAAAGATATATAGTTAAAATTAACTTTGATTAAAAAAAAATGTTCCAGATATTTCTATCCAATTTAAAAAGGGAAAGCGTAGCATTTTGGGGAGGAGGGATGTCAAACTTTTTAATCGATAGGATTTTATTATGAGTGACATCTTAATCATTACAATATATTATTAAATGATTAATCTTTAAACACAAGATTAGTTCTCTAATTTTTTTTATTAAACTGATGTTTATGTTTATTTGTTTCAAAATAATACAACTATGTTTTTTTTCTTTAAACACAAGATTATGTATTATTATTATTATTATTATTATTATTATATTAAACGTTCAACCGTGTTTCTCTATTTTGGTCCCTGTGGTTACCATCTGGGTCCCTATATTTTCATTTATTTGCCACTTTGCTTTGTGATTCTTTACTGCATTCGTTATCTTCTTTATGTTCCTTTCCATCGGTAAAGATAAGTATATATAGTGTTTTTATAATCGGGTTCCTATTTCGTGTCAAATATTACTCTATTCCACGTGTCTTCTTCCTGTTGTTTTGCTTTTTAATTGCAGATCCTTCTTTCTTTTTCTTTGTCTTTCCCTTTTGTTCGTCATCCGGTTCCGTTTCTCCGCTTCACTCCCTATTTCTCTCTTAGGTAATATTCCTCTGTTATTCTTCTTTTCTTTCCTCTACTGTCGTAATTTTGCTTGCTTTCTTCCCGCTGTGTCGTCGTTTTATTATGTCATGGCTGTTCCGGCGAAGCGGACTGCTGACGACGCCGCTTCGTCGTCGGTTGCTGTCCCTATTGGTGGCCGCCGGAAGTGTCGACGTCTTGATGGCCTCTCTGTCCTTCCCCAGTACCTCGACTGTGGTGACTGTAGCTGGGTTTGTGAGTTTTGCGGTGCGTTTTCCTGGTATGTCGAGAGGGCTCTTATGGATCGATGTCTTATTTCAGAATGAAAGGGTTTCAACATCGATTTATGACTTCCAGGTATCTCACTCCTAATTTCGGATTTGAAGAAGGTTACACTTCTATTTGATTCTAACTATCTCGCCCCTAATTTCCTTTCCGGTTTTGGTTTTGGACTTGAGTAGGACCAATCGATTGGTTGTTGATTACAAATATATGTTTTCATATAGAATCGATTGTAAGTATCTCCTAATTTTTTTTCTGGCTTTGTACTTTGTTGTGTTTTCTATACAGCAATTCGTAGCTTATGAATTTTGGAGATTTTTTTTCTTTTGTGTGTATGTAGGCATCGTCGGACAATGGAGCAGAAGAATCAGCGACAGAAGAAGAGGAAAGGTATGAAGGATATGAGGTAGAGATTGAGCAAACTTATGGTTTCAGATTCGTGAATGGTAGGGATATGCACATAAAACTAAGATGTTTACAATTGGGGATAAAGTTGTGGCCACCAGCTATTTGATGAAATGCCTGACTCACTTTTCCTATTTTTTCTTCTCTTCCTTTTAGATGTACTTTATCATTTCACAAACGGATTTCATATCACTTTATTGGATTGGGTTGAGTTTAATTCATTTATTATGAATTTGGAAAACATTCTGATTCTATGCAACTTTTTGAATGATTTTTTTGTTCATTTTGTTATAGGTTTACCAAACTACTGTTGTTGGGCTAGGACATTCCACATGTGTAGCCATTGGTGGGGATCATTTTAATGGGACCAACTTTATTGACTGCATGAGAAAATTCATTGTTGATCCTCATACAGAAGGTAACTCAACTTTTCAAATGAATTTGGTATTTTGGTAGGTTTTTTTAAATTTGGCTAATTGCATCTGTGGATAATTATTGTGTTTCCAACATGAATATCATAAGAAATTTGTCACTTGCTTTTTTGAGTTTTTTTTGTAACTTTTAATGATTATTCTGTTAGGGTTGCCTTAAAGCACAAGTCTATGGCTAAATTTATTTGTTTCTAAGGTTAAACATAATACTTTCCATATGTAAATTAATGTTCTGTTTAAAGGTGGATGTTGTTTGTTTAAATGCAACTCTGTACATCCTAATGCAGATGTGTGTACAATTTCTTGGTTGACTGGCCGTTCACTTCAAGGGGTTAATCAGAGGTTAAAAGATCGATGCAGGGTATGATTTCAAGGTTGATGTTGTTTGTTTTTGTTGATTGTTTTGCATAGTTTTTTGAAGTTTTGAATTGAGAATTTATTGGTTATTTTGATTGCAGAGTTTGTTTGATGCATAAATCCATTTTTATCATAAGGATAAAATGGTACAATTAATAGTATTTGGTCCTAAGTTTAAATGTAGAAAAAAGGAATTTATTTGATATTCAGTGAGTTTTGACAAATTTTCATAATCTAAAAATATGGTAAACTTGATAACCCATGTTGCCCTTGAATTGGTTAGGTGGATGAGCAAGAAAATTGAAAAATGTAAGAAAGAAATTTGAATGATTTCTTGATGAAGACAGGCTTCAAGGGCCGTGGAAATTGCATTATTAAAGAAATTAAACAAATCCATGGAGTATGCATGGCGAAAATGGGTATGTGGCTACTTCTCTTTTAACTATTTTTTTTTTACTTTTTTTAATAAACCCTTTTTACATGCTACAGTGCCAATTCCATCAAGCATTTTGTCTCTCCAATCTGCAACAATGTTAGATGGGTTGCTTCGGGGCAGTCGTTTCACCTCCAAATGGTTAGATTGCTTCATATAACTCTTGATTTTTGTACTGTTTTTTCTGAAACCAAATCACCCTATTTGTTTTAAATCACATAAGAATATAAAATAGACGTACGTACTAGATTCGTTAAGATGGTGAAGGGCATTATTGGAAACGTTCCTGTTTTTGGAATTTGCATCAGCCATCAACATGCCTTGGTTGTGTAGACATACGAAACAAAATGTTTTTTTTAAAATACAGATGGTTATGTGATCCTTATTAATCATTAAAATCCTTATTATTTTGTTTTGTTTTTATTTATTGAATTTACAGGTTTACAAATGTTACACAACCTAATGAGAGACATTACAGATAAGAGTTCATTAAGATTCCAACATTAGAAAAGCTTCTCAAGGTAAGTATTAGAAAGTGTGAGAAAGTTAATATCATACACAAATTGTTAAATCACCATATTATCCATGGCAGGTCTTTGAGTTTCTGGCTGAACGAAAGATTCTTACACTGCAAAATATCTTAAAACCTTCTCCTAATGGGCCAAAAGGTTTGAACAAATTATGAATACACTTATTTTTTCTATATTAAAATTTAAAATATTTTATAGTTTTACTTCCTTCGATAATGAAACTCCTGTTGGTTTCTTTTTCAGCTCCAAAGAATAGATTTTGTCATTGACAGAGCATAGGGACAAACATGTTGGTTTTAAAATGTTGACTCCAAAATAGCAATATATTTTTGTATATCTGTGCATTAAGTTTTTTTGTATTTTTTTGTTTTCACAACCTGTTTTGTTTATTGTCCATTAGGTGCATCAAATTAGCCGAAATCCCCGTCACAAGTGGATTCGACGATAGTAATTCTCATTATGAAGTGCACTCTTGGTGAAGAAAAAATGCACATCGATATGTCGCCTGAACATGACAGCCTAATCGATATGTACACAAATAGCACATGCCGTTTCTTAATTTATCAGTTTGCGTTGAATTGTTTCCAATATAATTATGAAAGGGGAAAAACACTTGCAATGGAAAAACTCCAGAAAAACTAAAAGCTACCTTCCAACCCCCGCAACGCGGGGGAAACCTTTCTAGTTATTATTATAGAACAGAAAATACAATGTTTAAATCAACAAGTTCGACCATTTAGTCAATGTAATAAATACAAAATAGAAAGCTTTTGTATACTACAAGGCTTTTATTGCTTTGGTGCAAAATTGAATGCAACAATATTTATATTTTAAGGTACATTTCGACTCAAATTTATATGTTTCTTAGTATGTACATTTATATTTTAAGGTACATTTAGTCAAAAAGTCGAGCTAGAAACCGAAAAAGAAGGGTTTTTAGCTGTTCATAGCTAAAAACATGAATTCAAAGATGTAACTGACAATTGTTTTTACAAATTAAAAGGCTATTATTGGTAGTGTTCTCCAATGTTTCCTTACTCCAAAAGTCGTTGCTCTGCCTAAAAAAAACTTAGATCTATTTGTGATAATAACCTAGGGGGTATTTATAGGTTTTAAAAACGTGTTGACCAAGTTTTTTCCTGGCTTCACTCGAAGTACGTAATTTCAGCCTCTCATTGTTACCCATAATCTCTTAAATAACATCGATGATCAATGCTTTGCCGATGGATAGCTTGAGTGGGTGGGTAAAGATGGATTGGCCTCTCCGTCGGAAGGCGGGAGCGTCTTAATACGATTAGATCAGACAAGATGCTTCTAAGTTGGTTGGCGAAATATTTAACATCATCCATCTAGTAGCATATATCATCCTCAACTAGGTCTCGACATTAATAAATCTCCTAAATGATGTTATTATGAACTTACCCATTGAAGAAGTCTTGTAACTAAGTGAACAACAAATAAAAGTTGCATCTAGCTTCAAACCCTTATGGCATGTTTGGTAGAGAGAAATGGAATGTCTTTTGTTCGATTAATGCACAGAATGAAGAATTGGGAAACAAAACAGATTCTTTACCATGTTTTTAATTCTCTATTAATTATAGAGAAACGATGGGAAATGAAAAGTTGTCTTAGGCGGAGAATTTAAAA